CTAAAAGAGGTAAAGCCTCGCAAAAAACCAAGCCAACTGTGAGCTGTGTTTAGTGAGATCTCATGATTGGTAAGAACTCTGCTGTTCTTAACTGACCCCACTAGACCAAGTAAAAGAGCAAATTTTCCTGAAAACCAAACATCAGCTTTGCATGTTCATATATACAAAACCATGCCATGAAGTGACGTAAAACATCAAGAAGCATGCCTCTTGTTCAATGATGAGTACAAGGACATGTAGTTTTGTCTGTTTGGTGCCTATATCTATAAGGTAGGGTTTCGTTCATGTAACAGCGCCAACCCTCCGCGCGCGGTCCTCAAAATCGTCGCTTGCTCCTCGCCGCACCCGCCGGCCTTGAATCGTCTTACCCTGTCGTAGAAAACACCACCATTCTGAAACCAGAATTGCTGGGGGCACTTTTTGTGTCGACACGCGTACAATGGATGGCCCAGAGCCTACCAAAGATATGAGCAAGGCTGCACAATGTGCCGCATTGGTATCCTCAGAAAACCGTAGGGGGGGGGGGGGGTCGCATCGCCCACCTTCCCCTCTCCTGTCAGGGCGAGTAACTTGTTCGGAAAGAGCTATCCGACTGATGTGAAGTTATTGACAAATTTCGATACAGCTGTTGGGGCACGGCGAGAGACGCCCTCCAGTCAAAACATGTCGCGTCAAAACAAAACAAAACAAAACATGCCTAAGGTGGATACTTTGATGACAGTTGAGATGGGGCTCGAAGTGCAAACATGATTTTCATGAGGGGTATGGCCTCGTGGAGGCCCCCACATTTGGCGTCATTCCCAGTGCCGCTTGCTACTGGTTCGGAATCTGCCATGCATTCTGGTGCCCCGTCTAACGAGGTCATTCGCTGTTTCTTTTGCGGTCGGGGAAAGCAAACCCAGCCGTAGATCGAGTGGCCCAGCCGTAAAACGTGAGGCAAGGCAAGTCCCGAGGGCCAAAGAAAACTTCTGTTGTGATTGGTCTATCTCATTAACCTAGGACAGGTGCGTCTGCTTTCCTAGCAGCAGCACTTATCCTGACATTTGTTGAGGGGTAGTGTATGACTGAACGTTTCAGTTATGTGCATGATGTTGAAAATTGCAGTGATGAAAGAGACTTTCGATAACATGCTGGTTACTGATGACGCCACTGGGCATGGACTGAATGACTAGTTCATCTGGTATCGCGTTACACTACTGGCGACAGTTTTTTCTCCAAAAATTTGGTCGGCGACAAAAAAATACACTTTTACCACCCCCACAATCCACCCTGCTACCCATAACACATGGGCACCTGGGTACCTGTTGGTTTAGCCAACCCGTAAAGTACTCAAGCTCATACCCACCCCTTCTCTATTGCTAATCAGTTCCACTTAGGCTTACATAATACCCACTCGTTTGCTTTTGCTCACTGCTTAAGCTCTAGATTATGGAAAAGGTTCAGGAAAGCTTTTGTCCCTCCCGATAACTCCTTTGGTTTGAGCGTCCGCCTTCTGAGTCAACCACACGCGAGGCGGGCAGGGGGAGGGGGGGGGGGGGGGGGGCTCGAGTCGCTTTTGCACTTGCCGGCTGCCCCTGACTGGGATGTTCTGCGACAGGTGGCAGCAGTGTTAGGGCGGTGGGACCAGCGTTCATGCAACAAGCACTGCTTCACAGGGGGCATTGATCCCAGGAAATATTAAAACTTAAATAAGTACAAAGACATAACATTAGAAACTGAGTAGTGCATCGAGGCAAACATCACAAAAAATAGGTGCCAGCGGTGCAATTATGCGGCGTTCACTTCAGGTATGCTCCCAACATTTCGTGTAGGTATTACCCAAGCTCGTGCCCATACCCATAATGTTCCAAAATCTGTCCAAACTAAACCGTTGCCCATTCGATATGGGTGCCCACAGACTTATCCAGCTCGTAGTTTCCTATCGCTCAGCACCCACATCCAGAACTACCGTAATTTTAAAAAGGAAGTAGATGTCTTGAGAGCCCTGAAAAGTGTACGCCAAAATCTTATAAGGAGTTTCACCCTTTGAAAATGTTGATGGCATTCCTAACGAGCGTGCGTAGTGCAGAATGTTCCAGTGTTGCCACTTTACATGCGATTGCTCCAATGTCGCCTGGTTGTCAGGGAAATTTGGAAACACTTTAAAGTGGAAAGGAAACCGCTGCCAAGTCAAAATTTTGGTGACGCTACTGCGACAAATCATGCAGGATTTTGTGACACACTTGAAATGGGTCAAGTGCTGTCTTCAGCGCTTATCCGTTATGTTATGTTGTATGTATGCTTTCGACCACCTAGCTACTTTGCTGCGATGTTCATTGCGTTGTAAATGTTGGAACATCTAGAAGTGCAGAGTGCAGCGATATGAAGTATTCACCATTGGCAATCTGCTAGCTGCTAAAACCTGTAAAAACGATGATTTTGTAGCATCGTGTCCTGCATTTTTCTGTACCAAATCGGCATAAAAGTGCCAAAGGCGCCAGATTCAAGAGTTATACGGACGCAGCCAGCGGTGGTGAAATTAATGAAAGTGGAAAGGATGTAAGCATTCCGCAGCGCGAGCCCTTCGCGGTAGGCCTTTCCAGCAGCGCAGACTTGGTGTTCCGCATCCAGCAGGATGATGGCTTTTCCGTCACGCAAGCTCACGCTGATTCCACTCCGACAGGCAGGTGGGAATGTACCGGGCGGCCCAAACCACCGGGGCGCGGAGGATTCCCCGTCAGAATTCCCGCGATGTCGGCCAGCGACAGGCGCCAAGGCCATCGGTGCTGGTCCGTGGTGGGCGCTGCGGCCGGCGGCGCACCCCAGCCCGGGCAGCCGCGGCTGCTACTCACCGGGCCCGTCCGCAGAGGCCGCTCACCGGCCCTGTCCGCAGCGGCCGCTCACCGTCCCTGTCCGCTGAGGCCGCTCACCGGTCCTGTCCGCTGCGGCCTTTCACCGTCCCTGTCCGCTGAGGCCGCTCACCGTCCCTGTCCGCTGCGGCCTCTCACCGTCCCTGTCCGCTGAGGCCGCTCACCGGCCCTGTCCGCTGCGGCTGATCACCGTCCCTGTCCGCTGCGGCGGCTGCTCAGGCGAGCATTGCGGTCTCATTGGCCTTTTGTGATTAAAATTCTGGCCGAGAAGACTGAGCAGGGTTCAAGAAACACCTGGGAAAGGTCGGGTCTTGGAGATTGGGCGGGATAATATTCTAATGCACGCGATGCTGTTAAGTCTGGATACAGACATGTTACCAGCTTCATTCTTAGCACAAAGTACCGACCTGCAATCGGTAAGATTTGGTTGATATTACCTGTGTTGCCGCTGTTGGAAAGGCATTCAGCACACAACAACATTTCCTGGTCGGTATTGGCGAAGTTTTGGCCACTATTAGCGCAGTATCATCACTAGCGTAATGCTATTTGGTACGGGCTTACAATGCCGTGATACGGAGGACTCCGACCTCGCAGGCGGCATGCTACTGCGCAGCACAGTTGGTATGCCCCATAGCACTGTATAGAGCAGTGCATGCACAGTATAGTGTAGTGCATGCAGGACTACAGATACCGTAATCGTTTTGCATACTACCATCGTCGCATGCGTTGAGATACATGTGTTAGGTATGTTAATATGCGTATATGTGTTAGGCATTTGTATATGCTAAGTGCAACACCCACCGTGTCTTAATTGAAAAGTTAGCACTGACCTTAAAGGATATGACAAAAGGCATACTCCCTAGTCGAAATCAGAACCATTGGCATGGCAGGATGCATTAGAATACATGCAGTTTCCCTCCAGCCCATTTTACAGCAATTGCAGGCATTGACGGATGGAAATTAATTTCCGTTTTTAGTTTATTCCGTTAAACAGAATGGAAAAGCCACGGCCTTCCGTGCACTTCATTGAACAAGGACGATTTGTATGACACGCTGCTATTACAACGATGCATGTGAGCTAGTTTTCATCTCGAAAAAGTGTGATCAGTGTGGCAAAGCTTACGTTTTATAGGTCGTGCAGACTGACTGAAACAATATTTGAGCCTCATCGAATACGCCTTTGCTGCAGAACAATAATAATGTTCACTAGGCCTTCATGGACACCTGCCAGCTAGTTCCTTCGTCAGTATGTCGGTCAGTTTGTTTGTCAGCAAGCCATTGAACCTTTTTGGTGTGCATCGTTGAATGTACGCTATTCGCATAGCGTAATTACTACTGCGCATTCATCAACATCATTGATTTGCCGCTTAATTACCAGGGACATTCATTTGTGCGCATGAGGGGAATGAGCCGAGGGTACGAACGACCTAACCTGCCCGCAAAGGCGAGTTTCTAAACGGATTCGGCGTTTACACATGGGGTGTTCAATTCAGTTTAAGCATAATCCGTTAGATATCCCTCTATCTGAGCACTATAATATCATCGTAGTTATTGCATGATACCGAAAGCAGGTAGGCTTAAGCGACATCCTCAAACTTTCCCTAAATTCTGTAATATTCCATAAAACATTAGGGCCAAATCAACATACGTTACGTCCAGATCACGATTAAAGGAGGGGGAGGGGTGAAGCCGTTACATAATGACACAAATCGACACCTCTGGAAGATACATTGCAAACGTGAATGGCTGCATGTTTTGCATGAAATGATATCTTGCCGATGCAGAGCATACAGACCACAAATATCCGAATTTTGATGGTGCATTGTTCGGGTTTGCTATCACATGCAAGTGAGCCCTCTCCTTCTCGCCTCATCAAGGTTCCCCTGAATTTCACGAACGTTTCTTGACATTTCTTCCAACAGGGCGGTGCGGGCAGGTTCGTCGACTGTGGAGTCCGTACATCCCCCCCCCCCCCCCGAGCTGCCCCGCGTGAGCCCGGCCACGGCCGACCGTACTGTGTCATCAGACCAGCCCAGCCGGGGAAGTCGGTGGTCTTCCCGAGCTACCCGCCAAAGCCTCGGCCACGGACGGCCGCCAGCTCATCTGGATATAAAACCGGTTTGGTGAGTCGGAGACGTACCATTCGCGCTCGGCCGGAGCCCGGGGTGCCCTCCCGCCCGACGTCGTCCTCGCTCGGTCCACTATGAAGGTGAGTGCCTGCCCGGAGCACGATACGCTCGAATCTCGAAAACGAACATATTGCGATGGGGCGAGCGCCTGCCTGTCGAACCCCGCGATGACGTCACGTTTCGGCTCGGCTCCGCTTTGAACAGCCACATCGCGCTCTAGAAATTTACAGAATGCCATAGGATTTCAGTGTCTGGGGACTGGAGTCTGACACATGCCAGCATGCATCCCCCTTAAAGTGTGCTCTTCTGAACTGAACGCTGGACACGTGTGCTGTGTGCATTGAACGGGATGACATATTATATCACCCTGAGAAATAAATGTATGTGGTGTAGATAAGAAACGTATGATAGCACTGAAAATTTTAACGGAATGTTCACCATGAACAACAAACTACCTTAAGGCGCGCAGCCAGGCCTCTGTTAAAGCGGGTACGTGTACGTGAAATACTGTGATTTTGGGATGGTGCTGTGGGAGGAAATGCTCTGATTTTCTCCCACGCCCCCAGTGGTGTCCAAGAATGTCTTAAAAAGTATAATCAGACATCTTCACCCCCTTCCCCCCCCCCCCAATGCAAACGCCAGGCAATGAAACAGCAAGAAATGCGAAAATTTGAAATGCCTACGATCTTTTGAAAACATGCATTTCTTTGCAGTACCAATATCAAAATCGTGTTTAAACACCAAGCTTGTGCTCACTTGGGGCAACCCATACACTTGCGTGACGTAGATATATTTGACGTCAAATTTCGACGCAACTACGTTGCTGCGACTGACAGCCATTCTCTTCCTTTGGAAAATTTGTCTTGGTCTTCCAGACGTCAAGCAAATTTCTACCTTTTCAATGACGTATCCAGATCCAAACCCAAAAAGCCTGAGTAAGACACCTACAAGCGTGGGGGGGCACCCCTTGGTTACGTCCCTGACGACGTTTGCATTGGAACTGCTCAAAACAATTCCAAAAAGCTCACAACTATGACCAATTCATAGCTTTCCGTCGTATGTAACTCTCCATGGTATTCGTTTGCTGGTGGACGTCTTCTTTGATATAACTTCAACGGCAATAGCATCTTGCACCAGCCCTGCACGTGCTGCGAGCCTTTGGAAGCAAACGACGCCCATATAACAGTCAAGGTCTTCGCTCATATTAACCCAGGCAGTCCACTGCGCACTTACCACCCTGCGGTTTGAATGCGAAGTCATGCGCTTACGTTCCATTCTCGGTCGGAATAGCCAAGGCCGCAGTCCAGTTCGGATCAACACCCTTTGCAATAGAGGGTGGATCGAAGCAATGGTAGACTATTTTCCGCTCTCACTTAGATAAGTCACACAGGCATACGGAAGAACACTGTGTACCCCACATCAGGCATAGGTTGTGTTGGAAGTTGTAGAGCTCTGCCTGCAAGTACAGGACATTTTACACTACAGTGCCACATTGTATTTCCTGCGGCTCGACTTTGCCCAGATTCGATGCCTTGAAACAAAAATGTCAAACACGCTAGGTTGCATGGCTCCGCAAGTCAGACCGAGAAAAGCTGACTTAAGATCTCTAGATTACCGCTGTAAATCGTTGGATCAGTTTGCACGACTGGCGGTTTTGCAGGGGCAGCTGTGCTGGGTACCTCCGAAACATTTTCCTTCGGGTAGCCATTAGGAGAGCAAGTTCAGAAGTTTACTGTCATCTTCATTTCCACGTCTTGCCCCACCCAGGATCAATTGACTTTCGAATTGCGCGGCGTAATAACTGTGCCGTTATTTTGCATTTTGGAATGTAGTATGTTTCAACAACGTGTCGAAACATGTTGCGCCTGACATCATCACAATGCAATTTATCTAAATCTGGATATATTTAACGACGTCCAGCATCCCGTTTCGGGTCAAGTATCTGCAGTTATCAGCCCACCTCATTCCAGATCGCGCAGCCATGGGGCAACAGCGGCAAGGAAAACACGGATTTATACAGGACAAGTTAAATGTTGCATAATGTCATTATTCCACTGGGTTTCTCACGACATGACGACTATCACTGGCAGCCTTGCAGGTTTGCGTGTGAAAAATGTCAAATCTTGCTCGCTGTTGCTCTGATCGAGCTGGAGACCACGTGGCTAGATTTAGCGGGTCACGTGCCAAAAGGCAAATTTTCATCCAACCCTCAGAAATGAGTGTTAAGCATCAATTCATCTGCCGTGAAATATCTGGAGCAGACAGTGAACAAACCGCTGTACATCGAGTAGATGTTAAAGGTCTCGTCTTCCAGCGGATGGCAAGTTTCTTGCTGTCCACCACATGTATCACAAAAGCTAGGCCCATCTAAATGTCCAAACTTTGACCCCGTATTTCATGACATTTGCTTTGACGCTCCACCTAAGAAGGGGACTCATAGGGCTCGAACATTTTCGGAGTAGCTCCTGGTCACTCTTTAGGCTCCGTGCTGTAATTTTAACTGGCTCAGTTCATGTCATTTCTACACCGGCTGTAAGAAGTTGGCCTGGTCTTGGCCGACCATGATCTGTGACTTCCCTTTGTAGCTGGAAATGTACTACAAAGAGGTTCTCTGGACCGTTCATCTCTTGCTCATTAAAGAGTGCATAAGTATTTTTGTATATGGTCTAGCTATCAGTGCACAACGTATACTGGCCACTGCCGCTAGGTCAGAATCCAAAGTTGTCACATCAAACTTTGACATTTGCGACCAGATTTGACGCTTCGAAGGTCATATGATTTTAACGGTCGTGGTAAGCCCTTTCTGACACCGCTTCCTTCAGTGACGTGGCTTGTTAGTTCTTGATATAGACGAAAGGGCCTAATGAACAAAAACCTTCACCCCGAATGGAAGCATTGGACTGCACGACATGTTCAGCTGCTGAGGCTATATGACGTCACCGCCATAACAGGAGTCTGTAAAATGCTGCTATCATGACCTGATTTGAACTATCAAGGGTCACATTTATCATCGTTTATCAAACCTCTCTCGTAAATTTTGACGAAAGCCTCCACATGTCCCCCATGACTCTGGTATGCTTAATTTTCAAGACTTTAGGGAGCGGGCGGGCTCTGAGACCCTAGCATACCTCAGGGTGAGAAATAGGGAGCTCTGGGCCCATCTTAGGACGAGGAATGCTGGCAAATTGTGGGTCAGTGTGAAGATAAGGAGAGCGTTCGCAAACGACAGCGACAGTATAACCTGTGACTTTTGATGGTGAACCTGGCCTAACGCAGCCCGGAACGCTGATGCTCGTCTGGTTCGTGTTTCAGGCGTTAACGCTAGTGCTTTTGTGCTGGTGCGCAGCAGTATCTGCAGCTCAGGACACCCCTAACCGGCTGGTCTGCTACTACACCAGCTGGGGACGGTATCGGACGTCCATCGCCAAGTTCACACCAGAAAACATCATCCCGCACCTCTGCACCCATCTGCACTACGCAGTGGTCAACACCAACGATGAACAGGAATTGGGCCCGGCCGATAAGTTCTCCGATATTGACCAGCAGGGGTACGAGCACATGGTGGCCCTGAAGGCAGCTAATCCGGCTCTGAAGCTACTGATGATGTTAGGCGGATCTAAAGTGCTGCAGCAAAACGCCTTTGTGGAGTTGGCTAGCGATGAAGCCAAGACCAAACGCTTTGTAAAGGAAGCGATAAAGTACATCAGAAGGCATAGATTTGACGGCATTGACATTGACTGGAAGGCGGAGGGGAAAAAAGAACAGCACGCTAAGCTCATGGAAGCTCTGGCTGCTGGTTTCATGGAGGAAGCCAAAGAATCAGGCATGGATAGGCTGCTTCTGACAACCACAATTCCGGCCAGCTTTATCAAGATACAAAACGACTTTGACATCGGTCGCGTTTCCAAAGCTGTCGACTACATGACCGCGCTACTGTACACCTTTCATGGGGGTTCTGAGAATCAAACGGCGCACCACGCTGCATTGCACGCTACCGATCCCAACACTACAAACTATGCAGACTTTGTCATTCAGATGTTGAAGGAGGCCGGCGCAGACCCAGCTCGCTTAGTAATGGCCGTGCCTACTTTTGGAATCTCATTCACTCTCGTAGATGCCGAACGTCGAGGCTTCGGAGCTCCAGCGAAGGATGCAGGTTACGCCGGCAAGTACACCAAGCTGGCGGGTACTCTGTCCTTCACTGAGATTTGCGAACACATCAGCATGGACGGCTGGCAGGCGTTCCGCCCGCGACCGGACGCAGTTGGCCCTTATGCCGTCAAAGGTGATCAGTGGGTGGCCTACGACGATGAGGTCATGATGCGAAGAAAGGGCGTCTACATACGTGAGCAGGGTTTGGGCGGAGCGGCAGTGTGGACGCTCGCCCAGGACGACTTCCGTGGAGTGTGCACTGGTCAGCCGTATCCTCTGATTGAAGCCTTGAAGGAGGGTCTGTTTAGCGGTGTCATGGTGCCGCCGACCACGCCCAGCCCGCCCCCCACGCCCGTCTACGACAACACCCCGGTGTTCACGTGCCCAGCAGACGGTAAGTTCGCAAAGATGGACAACTGCACAGAGTTTTATGTCTGTCGCAAAGGGCTGCTCGAAGTGTTGCCCTGCGGAGACGATCAGAAGTACGATGCTCAGCTGGGTGTTTGCGACGAAGACGCTCCGTGTGTGCAACAACCTCTCGTTGGCGTCACCGCCTTTGCTCCAACACCGTCTCCTTCCACATCCCGTCCTTTAAGACCAATGGGGCAAACGGCAGCTGGCGCACAGATGCCGCCGACGGCCAAACCTAACGTCGCGACATTCCCCGCACCGTTCGCGGGACTACGAACCACGCGTCCGCCCGCGGCGCCATCAACCCCACTGGACTCGGTGGTGGTGCTTTCCGCATCAACGCCACCGCCCGCGATCGAGACCATGGTCGACAAGGACATCACTGACGCGGAAGAGCTGCGGCAGCTGCTGGCGCTGGTCCAGCAGCTGGGCGGCGTGAGAAGCGTGCGGAGGCTACTGGCGGCGGTGGACGGTCCGAAGCGCGGTGCTGCACAGCCTGCCGCTCAGACAACTGTCACGGAGGTCGGCGGCGACCAGCGGGCCAAGGTGCACGTGATCGTAGAAGTGAGGTCATTCTGATTTTGTTGGGCGCGTGCCGACATGTGGACGTCATTGGAGGCTGATCAGGCATGGTTCGTTGTTCGCAGTTTGAAAATGTGGCTGCGAACAGCAATGTTCTCTTAGAAGCCGTCATGAATGCACGTAATGCATGAATGCATGAATGCGCTTAATTCTATGCATTTTCAAAACCCGGCCGTGTGTTTGTCGCCACGCTCCAGGTCGGACGATAATTCGGCCTGTACGGATTATTGTATTTAGCAATCCGTTTTCAGAACGTCATGTGGATGAAGTGGGTGCTGTTTGCCGAAGACCATTTGACGATGTCAGCTAATAGCTCTTCAACAGTGCCATCAGATGCACACTGTCGCACCCTCCTCGCACGACTAAAATGTGTTTTTTCATGACTGCCACCTCTTTCCAAAGCCGGGCTCCGTGCGACCCATCAGCATCAAATGATGTACTATGAGGAGGTAGACCAACAAAAAAGGTGTCATAGGCAAAAAACGATTTTATGGCGTCAGCTTATAGCCCTCCCCATAACTATCAAATACAGAAAGTCGCAGGCTCAGCGCGTGCACATAAAAATGTTTGAGATCCGCTGTATCCACTCCAGCCTCGTCCCGAGAATCAGAGTTGTGGTAGCATGGGGGTATAGGAATGAAGCGGGTCCCGCCGGCTGACAGCCATTTCTCGGTGTCGGGAGATGGCCATTCCCTAGCGCTATCAAATGGGCTCGGTTGAACTTCATACGCATGACCATAAGCTTTTGTAAATGACTGTCACATCTTTGGAAATCGACGCTCTAACCCGTCCACCATCATAAAATGACACGCTGTCAGGGTGTCATAGCAATAGAGTGAATGCCGTCGGCCGACAGTGATGTTAGAGAGGCCACCTCACAGGCCTCACGGTGAGCTATCAAATGCAAACGATCAAGCTCTCTTTTAAATACACACACCGTTGCACCTTTTCGGCATGATAAATACTGTTACTAAACACGCAATAAATACACGATAGATACTGTCACTCGGGGCCCTCCGGATACTTCAATTTGAATGGAGGCCCAATGGATTTGTCTGGGGCCCCACCAGCTACCGTGCTCGGGTACACTGGATTGTTCGGGGGCCCTGCACGTTGGGTCTTCGTATTTGAATGTAGAGCCTTACGCTGATATCGGAGGGTCATCTGATAGTCTGCTTGGGTTTGCTGATCTGCACTCGATCTTTCGGGTGCCCTCCACACTTGGCCTGGGGTGCTTCTTATTTGCATGAAGGGCCACACACTCCTGTCGAGGCCATTTCTGATAATCTGCTCTGGCACACTCGATCGTTTAGGGGCCATCTACGTCGGGTCTCGGGTACTTCCTATTTGAATGGAGAGCCCCACGTTCTTGTCCGGGGCCCTGTAGGTTAACCTGCTCGGGTACACTCGATCATTCCTGGGCCCTCTATATTGTGCCTGTGGTACTTCTTTATTTCATGCATAGCCCCATGCTCTTGTCGGTGCCCCATCTATCAAGCTGCTCGGGCCAGTGGCGGATCCAGTGTACGTGAGCGCGTGCGTGCGTGCGTGCGTTCGTATGCGTGTGCGCGCGCGTGCGTGCGTGTGCGTGTGCGTGTGCGTGTGCGTGCGCGTGTGCGCGAGCGCGTGTGGGGGGGGGTGGGGGGTGGGGGGGGGGGGGGTGAGGGTGTGGGTGTGGGTGTGTGGGTGTGTGGGTGTGGGTGTGGGTGTGTGTGAGTGTGGGTGTGGGTGTGGGTGTGTGTATTGGGGAACACGGAACCACACCCTGCCTTGTGCCTGGAGGGGACCTATAGGCTCCGGGAACCCATAACCATCCAAAATGACACAGTTCTCTCACACAAAACGGCACAGAATTGGACGTCTTTGAGCCTCCAGACGACCAAGAACAGTCACAGGCGAAAGTGACGAGCCCGTGAGTAGACGCAATTAACTCTTCGCTGATTGGGAGGGTGGTAATTGCGGAACATTTTGAGGCTGATTTCACCGTCCAGTCGTTACGCTGTCGCCAGGGCCCCATATGCAGGGTACACCAAGTTGCTCACAGTCCCTTCATGTCAGTATTGGGTTCTTTCCACTTGCTCGGAGGGCCTTGTTCTGTTGCTGGGGCCCGTATAAGGAAGACACCAAGCCACTCGACGCCTACGCGCCTTCCACATTGATTTAGGCCTCTTTCCCTTTGATCTCGTTTGCGGAGGACCCTTCACTCCTATCGGAGTCCCTTTCTGTTAACCCTGCCTGCCTGCCTGCCTGCCTGCCTACCTGTCTGCCCAGGCACTCTTGGTCGCACAGGGGCATTTATTCACACACACTGGTCTTTGATAATTCCTTTTTGCTCAGCGGGCCCTGTGCTCTGGCCTGTCAGCCTGCCTGCCGGGGTACTCCGGATCAGTCAGGGGCCCGCCACGTTGGTCTCCGGTTCTTCTCGCTCGCTCTGAGGACCCTATGCTTGTTGACGGAAGCCTCTCTGTTGTCCTGCCGTAGCACCCGCAATCGCTCAGGTTTCGTCTCTAATGGCCCTAGTGCAGCCTCAGAACAGCAATGGGATATGCCCCGATGAATGTTTAATCGCAAATGTCGAGCATAATTTTACGTGGCGCCGACGTCGTATGAGACCTTTCCGTTGGTTATTGGTATTTGTGCATCACGCTCTTGCTATGTTCTAAATGCGAGAATATTTTGCCCTCCTTAATAACAAAGCAAAAACCCTGCATTAGTCATCAGCCATCAGCTGATCACATCTATCAGCCAGCTAGCTGTAACTAAGCTAGGAATCAAGTTCATGCTAGATTTGGATGGTATTTAACAAGCAATTTTACATCATTTTCCCATTTTTTTCCGAAAAAACTTAGCCTAAAAATGACAGAGTTCACCATGATCTGGAGAAAATATATACGCTCCATGCGTGCGCATCCGTAGCACGCCTAGTTTTATAAGGCTGCGCATCGTAGGTTGGGTTTTCGTATACAAATTATACTAAGAATCTTAAACTCTAAACGTCGGAATGCAAAGATTTTTGGAGGGGGGGGGGGGGCCTGAGCTCTAGAGGGCCCAAAATGTTGTTCGCCTCCCCTTACGAAATAATGGATCCTCCCTGGTCATTCACCACAGTAAACACTTTTTCATGCGTCGGGAATCGAAGCTTTTCCGGCGTTGTTTGTCCGAATTTGTCGAGTTCAAATGCTTTCACGCAAGAATGCTCTCCCACAAGCACCACAGTCAACAGCGCTTTTACTGTTGCTGTCGTGACGTAACACGGGTCTGGTTAAGCTAACACGGTCATTGACCGCCACGCCGCAGGTCTCACACAGGAATGGTTCGTCAGCCTGGTGGACGCGGGTGCGATAGCCTTCTTAACTCCGCCTTGAAAATGATCTTTCAGAAGCACTGCAGCTAAATACTTCCTCGCTTACGTGTGTGACCCTGCACCATGTCAGACCAGCACGGCCTCTAAAAGACTCCCCACATGACACACAACTGAAGGGTCTCACTTCCGCGTGCACGCGAGCGTGGACACGCATCTCACGCGGACGAGAAAACGACTTGCGATTTTTTCGGCTTTCGAAAAAGATTTTCCACACAACCTGCAAATGCCACAGGTATGCGCCAGTATGGGTTTTCAGGAGTTCAGCGGAAATGAGACTTACGAGCAAACGACTTGGCCCCAGACCCCACACCTGAATGAATTCCAACCAACGTGGGTACCCGTGCGGTTGTCGAGATGCCTCCGCAATAAATGACGTCTCGCAGACACCACAACTGTATACGGCTACCACTGTGAGTTAATGTATGCACATTCATAAGCAGCTTCCTGGTAGAAGACAAAAAGCCGCAACTGTACGGCTTACCTCTGTGAGTGAGAGTCTGCGCACCGGTCAGGACTCTCTGTTAAATGACAAAGAACCGCCGCTGCACAGCTTATCACTGGTGTCCAACTCAGAATGCTCTCTAAGGCTGCCTCCGCGACAGTTCGGCTTTCCTCACCTTTTACACCTATGCCGCTGCTCACCAGTGGGGTCGGAGCAAGAAAAGCTAGATGCTGGTGGCGACGGAACGAATTGCCACAAACTTTACAACGAGACGGCTTCCCGCGGTGTGAGCGTGGATCTGGTGTGATTCCTTTTCATTTTTGCGCAGAACGACTTCCCGTGAGGGCTGCAAGTGTATGACCTCTTGCGATTGCGGGCCTGGTGACGCTTCAAGACGCTGCTGAGGCGGAACGAATGCCACAAATTATGCAGCTGAATGCCTTTCTAGCTGCATGGTTCTCAACTTTGTGGTGTTGTTTAACACTCGCTCGCGTGGGGTGTCAGTTCAACTTCCGAAGGATTTTCCAGGATGACTTCCGAACGGCGCAGCGTAGCTGCGCCAAACTTTACATACCTGTAGGCATTTGAATAGCGGTCTTTTGGTACACTGATCAAATGTACCTTTTATGGCTGATGACCTATGAAAGGTCAAAGTCAGGCCATGATTTTTAACGAAGGTTATTTCAAGGGAACCTTTCAATCTGATGTGACAGCGTAGTGTTACAGGAAGTCATTCACTCTGAGATGGGTTTTTAGGCAATCAGCCAAATAATGTTGAAATACAAATACCATTGACCTAGGATCAGGTATGAAGGTCAGACCGAGGCCAAAACATGCTCCTTTCTACTCGAGAGCTTATTTATAGAGGTAGTTTCTGGTACTCATTTTGAATTTATCAATGACAAGGACCGCAACAGACATGTTTCATGGCCTTTTTACAGGCCAGACTCGCTGGCCACTCACTGGTGGGTCGCTGGCTTTAACTGGTCTATATGAACATTTCGTTTTTAGGAACATAAGGTCTAGCGTAATCGCTGCGGCTTATCTGAATCGCAAAATCGCAATAATCTCGTAGTTTTTTGGTCACCTTAACCTTTGAAGTCAAACACGTTAACCGACCTTAAACATAAACCACTGATCACTTGCTTAAAACAGGTATCTAGGTTCACGGTGCTTGCATGAGTTCTGAGGGAACTTTGAAAACGAATCTGGAGTTTGACCTTGTTTGACTTAATTAGCCTCAGTGTCATAACCTAGGAGCCCGAGATTGACACAAGTGAGCTCACATACAGGATAACCCACCCCGTCAAGCAAATGTCCCCAGCTTTCTTAATGTTCGAGCCTCAGGGCACTCAAATTGACCC